TACGGTACTACTTCTGGGTTTTCTGCATGTTTATTTCTATGGCCATGTGTGTTTTGGTTTGGTTCATGTCTTGTGTGTCAGGATTGCTCTCACCTGTTTTCATTTCTTCCCTTGATTGGTCTGTGTATTTAATCCCTCGTTTCTTTGTTCTGGTGCGAAGTCTTATCAAGTGTATTGTGCATTTCTGAGGCTTGTTTCTCATTCTCTAGTTCTTGTCCATAGTTTTCTGATCAATGCTTGTGTACCTGGTTTATGATTATGGATTTTCCTTGGATGATGATGCCTGCCAGTGTTTTGACCCCTGATATGAACTTTGTGAACTTTATGAACAATGATTCCTGGTTTGCCCTAATTAATAAAGAGCACGCTGAGTTTAAGTGCTTGCGCCCTGCATCTTCACCTCACCACATGTTACAGAAGGATTCGCTTATGAACCCAGTCCGGCCGAACATAGCCAAAGCTAGTCCGGCCAAACATGAGCTGCTGCATGGAAGGGAAGGCTGGAGATGAAGGAGAAATGAAGGCTCCAGCCAAGCTCAAGCCAGAGGCTGACGGCGTGGCCTCGCCAGCCAAGCTCACACCAGGGGCCAACGGGACAGCCTCCCATGCCACGCTCAAGCGTATTTCAGTCCAGGGATGTTGTCTTTTTGACCACCATTAATGTCACTTTAGTTATTTTCAAAGTGAATATTGTTGCTAAAATACATACTTCAAGCTATAGTCTTCAAAAAATCCAACGGGGGCAATGTCCCTAGGAGACTGGGACTCATGACCTTGGTATTTAAAAAATCCTGGCTATGACCTTGTGTTTATTGCATTATTTTCCATATTGTATGCTTTCAGATACACTATATGGTCAAAGGTATCTGACCATCACACCCATATGTGGGCCCTCCCCCAACTGTTGCTACTAAGTTGGAAGCACACAACTGTCTGCAATGTCTTTGTATGCTTTAACATTAAGATTTCCTTTCACTGGAACTAATGGGTGTGATGTCTACACACTTTTGGCCATATAGTGTATATTAGCTTCAGAGCTTGAAACTCCTCCCACACCTAGCAGGTAAAATATTCTAACCATCAAAAGCCATTATTTATTCATAACAGTCATATAATCATATATATTAACATAGACATATTTATTAACAGTCATATAATACACACAATGCATGAACGCCATCCACAAAAGGATGTAAAAATCAAAATCATTTTTTTGTTCTTTTTCTAACAATGACTTTGGTATATATATATACAACTACTGGACAGTGGAAAAAGACCAGGTGACTTTTTTTTTTAGATCTTGAACTGTCCAGTTTCAATGAGCCTGTGCCCATTATGGCCTCAGATTCCTGTGCTTGGCTGACAGGATTGGACCCCAATGTGGTCTTGTGCTGTTGTAGCCCTTCCACCTTTAGGTTTGATGTTTTGTGCATGCTAAGATGCTTTTCTGATCACCATAGATGGAAAGAGTGATTATTTGAATTGCTATATCCTTCCTGGCAGCTTGAACCATTCTGGCCATTTTCCTCTGACCTCTCTTATCATCATCGTGTTTCTGTTATTTTTCTTTTATTTTTTCACAAACTTAGCATAGTTTTCATAGTCTGTGCATGTTAATTCTGTTCCAAGATTGTGATAAAGTTAACTTGATCACTGAAACTTTCAATTAATAAATCTCTAATAGACTTTAACTTCCATGTCTGCTTCAAAAACACCACTATATCATCCCCATACCAAAGAGAAATGAGGTGGAATGCCTTAATGACTATCGCCTGGTTGTACTGAAGTACTTCGAAAGGCAGGCACTTGGGCAAATTGAAAGCATCATCCCAGATACAACTCACCTTCTCCAGTTTGCATACAGCTTCAATGGGTCTACTGAAGATGCTACATCCCTCATGCTTCACAACACTTCATAACATAAAGGAATTTATGATCAAACTAAAAATTTCATCTGAAACTGCCATGAAGATAACATTCCACTAAATCCACCACCTAGGAGGAAAAACAAAAACCCAATGAATACCCACAACTGACCATTGCAGAAGTAGAATATTACAAACACAAGGAAATTATAATAAGCTTAGAGTAATGAAAATAAATGAGTTCGACATTAATGATCAGTTTCCATGGAAAATACTGAACGCATGGAAAAAAAACTGCTCACCATCAGAAAAAAGGTGATAAACAAAGGAAAGAGAGCATTTATATCTGTAGATAAACTGCTTATTGATGGACAGATAGACTGGGTTAAAAATGTGACCCCTTGATTATATTAGAATAACTTGTACATGTGTCCCACTGCCTCTCTATTATACTTGAAGAACCCAGATTCAGAATATATCAGCATCTTCCTCAGCAATGTCAATATACCAAAATTAACTAAGGAACAAGCCACAAAAGCATTAGTGACGTTGCACACTCGTATTGGTTGATAAGGCTTGTCGCAGACAGCATTCCAATTCATTCCAAAGGTGTTCAGTGGGGTTGAGGTGAGGGTTCTGTGCATGTCACAGTAACATGTCAACACCAAACATGTCTTTATGGAGCTCACTTTATACATAGGAGCATTGTCATGCTGGAACAGACTTGGGCCCCTTAGCTCCAGTGAAGGGAAATCTTGATGCTACAACATGCAAAGACATTCTAGACAATTATGTGCTTCCAATTTTGTGGCAACAATTTGAAGAAGACTCATATGGGCGTGATGGTCAGGTATCAACATACCATTGGCCATATAGTGTATCTCACACACTATGCCTTACTACCATGAAAACTAATTAATATGATGTTGAATTTGGGCATCATACAAACATTTTAGTATTTATACAGTATTCCCTGGGACAAAGTGAAACAGGGTTATTACTAGGTTTGTGCAATATCGATTTTTGCCAGATTGCAATTTTTTTATTTTAAAATATTCTGTGAAATGATTTCATTGTCCAGAACTGTTAGCCTAAAAAAGACAGGAAAATGAGCATTTCCACCATCTCAGCTTTAAAGAGAGGAGGAAAGTTGTAACAGTCAAGAACAACAAACAAATATGACAAGGCAGTGAAAGTGTGCACGGAAGAGTCTTGACACTGCTGAGACATGCTCGGAACCATAAGACACCACTATGAGCCAAAGCAAATAGCTAAAATACCTGGTGCTAGACTATTGCTCAAAGATCTAGGCTAAGGTATTTATCATGACTGGGGCTTATGTACATCCTGCTGGTACATGTCATAGCACTGGCCTTTTGCACACACAATTCTTCTGCTGCATGATGGACAGAAGTTATCTGAACATATACAATACGTCTGGTTCATAAGCCCTGTTCAACACAACGGAGTTTTCTGAGCAAATCTGATCCAAAGGTATCAGCAGTGGCACATCACAGCACGGCAAGAAGGTTTTCAAAGTTAATATCATGCAGGGCAGGAGTGAAAGAAGTTATTTTGTGTCCAACAGATATTATTTATCCTGAATGGGTAGAATGTGAACATTGCAGCAAGAACATTTCCACAAGGCATGAACGGGGATTGAACCCGTGATCTTCGGTTTACGAGACCGACGCCTTTCCACTTGGCCATCATGCCCGAGTGGTAGTTTCCTGGGTGACATAAAAGGTTAACAGCAAAACGTTATTTTGTGCCAAACAAATGTTATTTATCGCCCCACGGGGAGAAAGAAAACATGAGAGCAACTGGCTTCTTCAAGGCATGAATGCGGAGTGACCCCTTGAAATTTGGTTTCCAAGACTGACTCCTTCGCACTTGGCCATCATGCCTGAGCAGGGGTCCTTTTCAGACAAAATTCTTTGGCTGCATGATGAGATGCACATTGGAACACTGCATTTGCTCTGGTTGGTCTCAGATTGAAAGGTGCCAAATGCAATAAGCGCATAACAAAACTACATCACCACAAGCAGTCTCTGAATTTTGTCTGCTTGGCATTGCTTACATTGTTTTTAAATGCTATAAAGGCCTCCTTTGGAGATGCACATTGGAACACTGCATTTGCTCTGTTGGTCTCAAATTGAAAGGCACCAAATGCAAGAAGGGCAAAAGAAAATTACTTCAACAATAGCAGCAGAGACTGCTTGGTATTGCTTACATTGTTTTTAAATGCTATAAAGGCCTTATTTGGACATGCACATTGGAACACTGCATTTGCTCTATTGGTCTCAAATTGAAAGGCACCAAATGCAATGAGGGCATAAGAAAACTACCTCACCAATAGCAGCAGTGATTACTGGGACCTTGCTTGCACTTTTTCAATGCTACAAAGGCCACTTTTGGAGATGCTGGGGTTTGAACCCAGGACCGCATACATGCAAAGCATGTGCTCTACCACTGAGCCACATCCCCTATACCAGGCAGCCTGGCAGGGATGAACAAAGTTAACAGCAGTCATACAGGATGACAACCAAATAGATCAACAAACAACTAAGACATGGCAGTGTACCCAGAACCATAAGACACCACTATGACCCTAAGCAAGCAGTGAAAATACCTGTTGCTCCTCTATCGGTCAAAGAGCTAGGCTAAGACATGACTGGGTCTTACGTGCTTCCTGCTGGTACATGCCATATCACTGGCCTTTTGCACACAAAATTCTTCAGCTGCATGATGGACAGACGTTTTCTGAGCATTAATTTCTGGTTCATGACCCCTCTTCAACACAACTGACTTACCTGATCCAATCTGATCCAAAAGCAAGTGATTATCCGATGAGATAACTTGAAACAATGATCAGTATGCTGACGAGGAACAGCTAAACAGGGGGCATCAATGTAACATAAGGAAGCTTAGACATGGACTCTCTCCAGAGCCCTTGGCTGTTGAGTTTGCAGCAGTGGTCCGCTGCAATGCTGCACATTGAAACACTGCGTTTGTTCTGTTGGTCTCAACTTGAAAGGCGCCAAAAGCAGTAAAGGCGTAACAGAACACTTTATCACTGACACCAGCCCCACTACTGGGAGTTGCACTATTTTTCAATGCTATAAAGGCCTCCTTTGGAGATGCTGGGGTTTGAATCCAGGACCTCACACAACCAAAGCATGCACGCTACCACTGAGCTACATCCCCTAAACAAGGCTACCTACCCCAGATGAACAAAGTTAAAAGCAAGAAGTTATTTTGTGTTGAACTAATGTTATTTACTGCCCCATGGGGAAAATGAGAAGATCAGAGCAACTGGCTTCTGCAAGGCATCATGGCATCATGGCAAGGCATCAAGGCATCATGCCTGAGCAGGGGTCCACTGGATGACATACAGTCTAACAGAACAACAAACAAATTCGGCTGCATGATGGATGGACATTGTCTGAGCATTTACTTCTGGTTCATGGCCCCTGTTCAACACAACTGATTTACCTGATCCAATCTGATCCAAAGGCATCGGCACTGACACATCCCTGCACAGCAAGGTTTTCAAAATCTGGTGATTATCTGGTGAGATAACTTGAAACAATGGTCAGTATGCTGACAAGGAACAGCTAAACAGCAGGCGTCAATGTAACATAAGGCAGCTTAGACATTGATGTTCTCAACAGCACTTGGCTGTTGAGTTTCCAGCAGTGCTCTGCTGCAGTGCTGCACATTGAAACACTGTGTTTTCTGGTCTCAAATTGAAAGGCGCCAAAAGCAATAAGGGCGTAAGAGAACTACTTCATCACTAGCAGCAGAGACAGTTGGGACATTGCTTACACTGTTTTTCAGGAGTATAAAGTCTTCCTCTGGAGATGCACATTGGAACATAGCATTTGCTCTGCTGGTCTCAAATTGAAAGGTGCCAAATGCAATAAGGGCATAACAAAACTACTTCACCACTAGCAGCAAACACTGCCTGGCCTTGCTTACACTGTTTTTCAATGTTATAAAGGTCTCCTTTGGAGATGCACATTGGAACACTGCATTTGCTCGGTTGGTCTCAAATTGAAAGGCACCAAATGCAATAAGGGCATAAGAAAATTACTTCAACAATAGAAGCAGAGACTGCTTGGCATTGCTTACATTGTTCTTAAATGCTATAAAGGCCTTATTTGGACATGCACATTGGAACACTGCATTTGCTCTGTTGGTCTCAAATTGAAAGGCACCAAATGCAATAAGGGTATAAGAAAACTACTTCACCACTAGCTGCAAACACTGCCTGGCCTTGCTTACATTGTTTTTCAATGTTATAAAGGCCTCCTTTGGAGATGCACATTGGAACACTGCATTTGCTATGTTGGTCTCAAATTGAAAGGCTCCAAATGCAAGAAGTGCATAACAGAACTACTTCAGCTGCACTGTTTTTTTAACACTATTGAGGCCTCCTTTGAAGATGCTGGGGTTTGAACCCAGAATCTCATACATGAAAAAGCATATGCTATACCACTGAGCTACATCCCCAAGACCCAAGCCAGCTAACATAGATGAACAAAGTTAACAGCAAGAAGTTATTTTGTGTCAAACAACTGTCATTTAACAGGTTGTTGTCTTTCTTGTCCTAGTTTCTAGTGTACTATTTCTCTTGCTTTTCTAGTAGCGCCTGCACGTCTGCAATCAATATAGCCAATTGGTTTGGGTCATGTAACTGTGGGGTTTGGTAGGGATCAACAGTGAAACTGTAAAAAATATCCTGCAGAGAATGTGGTCAGTAGCTACTGGTCCATTATCAAGCTTCAATGCTCTAGTTGCAGAGGGGATAACCATCCCTGTAACACTGTCACAGCCTACTGATTTCAGAGATGTCACTGGGCTCCCCCAGCAAAATTTTGCTTTAGAGGCTTGATCACACCCTGTTCTGATACCTCCTTTGTGTTTTGGGGATGGTACAGCAGCACCAAAGTGTCCCCACTGAATCCTGTGTAGCTATTTCAATCCACTATTGCAGTCTTTGAAATAATATGCTTGTGCATACGAGTGCTTAATGGCAATATGTTGTGTCATGTGTTTTACTCTCATCTCAGAGAGAAGGAGGCAATCACTGAAAGTTTCCTAGGTCTGTACACCAAAGATCTGTCCACGTACCAAGCAGCTGGTGCAGCATGTTTATACCAGGTTTAGTTAATGGCATTTGAGATATTTTAGGTGATGTGACATGTTGTCACCATGTTGCCATGGCTCCCATACCTTCACATGCTGTCTGTAAGATCTCTGTATCCATTGCATCTTGTGCTGTGGCATTATTTCCATAAGCGCAAATAGCAAGTATGCTGTTGTACTGGTGATACACCTTACACTCACCAGTGTATTATATATGTGTTACAAACCAGCATATCAGCTCTTTTATATACAGCGGAGTTTTATGCACAAACATTTATCAGAATGTACTATTAATGAGGCAACTGGTCTCTCCACCAGAAGCATTAGTCTCATGCCTAGGGTTTCTGCATGCTCTTACAGCCTGTATGACTGCTCTGTCATTTCTTGAATGGGTATAAGAGCATAATCGGTTGATTATGATTACGGATTATGGAATAGCCCAGGCACTTGCATGGGCAGATATACTACAAAATGCATTAGCCACTTGTCCAGTTGTCTTGGGTTGAGGATCCAACTTTAATTTTTACCAAGGTGGCTTTAACACCAGTCTATAGAGCATTCAATGCAGCTGCTGTGCTTTATACTCCTGCTTTATATAGTCTGCTTCGATGACAAGCTACCAGCACTCTATGCCAAAGACTGCCTCAAGTACAGATCAGCTGCCACTGAAACACATCAGGGTTTGTCTGTGTATGCAAGGAGGTGATACTAAGCTCACTCAGGCTCTATATTTCACTGCACTGTTGCATTTTCATTAACAGCATTTGGCCTGTATGGTTAGGCAGGTCTCAATAAGTGCCTGTGGCAGGTGTTCAGCTCCCAAACAATTTGGACATTGATGATGTCCATTGTCCAACTCCACCAGGGGTTGGGGGAACAAATAGCTCACCCTGCTGTTCTGAAATACACAAGTGGTATAATTTTATGCTGTAATTGTATGGGCTTTTCAAGATTTTTAGATTAGTTACTCTCTGTCTGTAGTCAGTAATGACATGTATTAGAACTATCATTCTGTAGATGTTGGCTAACAATAATAAGATTAGCAAAGAATCAAAGAATTAGAATGCTATACACATTGACTAAAACATGACAGATAGGGACATGCCCTATATTGTAAATGTCATGTATTTATAATTTTTGGACTTTAGAACCTTTGACTTTTGTAAGTAAGGCCCAAACACTGTCTGTCTGTCTTATAACAAGCTAAATACTTAATAGTTGTTATTTTCAAGTACGCATGTGTATTACCTTAGTGCACTTCAAGCATTGATCTGTATCTGTTTGGCATGTGCACAGTGTAGAAAGACAGATCACTAAATTGACACCTGTCAGAAAAAAAGACCTAAAACAAATAACATACAATCACTGATATTTTGAGCTTATACAAGTTTCTGGAACTGTAGCTGAAGAATGATAATATAAAACATGCATACGCACAAGTGGGCAAGGGAAATTTTTACAGTTACTAACTAATTCAGAAACACAAGATGAAGACATGACAAAAGATATTAGATCTAAATTAAAAAAGCTAAATTAAATTAAAATAAAGCTCAATTGAAATGGCAGATGGCCCCAGTATAATTTTGGATTATTTGAATTTCAAGTGTTGATATGCCTATTTAATATTTAGGCTTATTTGTCAGCTGGCAGCTCTCTGTGTTGACTTGGAATGATTAGGTTGTTATCTGGCAAGAATACAATATGTGAACTATTTGACAGTGTGCGTCATCATCTCTTTTCTTCATATGTGGATTTCCTTGACAAAAAGCCTGTTAGTGCTCTCTTGTGTCAACTTTTGTGACAGATGTTATGCAGGGGCTGGATTCTAAAAGCACTAAACAAAACCCACTTGCACCTTTAAATTTTGCCAGCAGCAACCTGAGCCAGTGGCAATGAGCTGCTGTTGTTACTGCTGTGACACTTTATTGCACTTTTACCTGTGTGCAACACCACATTTAATCAAAGGCAACTGTAGAGTTCAATTTCCCATCTCATCCAGAAGAGTCCTGGGAAATTTTGCAATGTAAAGTTTCTTACATTCTTACAAAAAGTTAAAAAGTGACAGTGTAATGTAATGCAACAGTTTCAATCCATGACTATCAACACACCAAAGGCTACATAGTTCACACTCACATTAAATAGATCAAATCACTGGTTACAGGTGTACTTGATTCATAAGGATTATATAATTAAAAGTCACATGATACATAGGATGAAACAAAATCTAAAACAAAATAAAAGATCTAGAGCTTCACTAAGAGCACTAAGAGGTTTTCAAAACTACTGTAGATAGACAAGGCTCCAGCTTGAAGGAGATACTTTTCAGTGTTGTTACATCTGTGATTAGGAAATATACAGTAAATTCCACAAAAACCTTTTTTCAAAGACACTCACTTCATGTCAACATTACACATAGGGAAGGTCTTTAAAGGACTCTATCACAAGGGGGAAGTCCCACACAAGGTCCTGTGCTGGGTGCGGGTGTCTCACCCCATTTACAACGGCAGTAATAAACCTATGGAACCTTAGAGAGATGCCATTCATAGTGCTATCGTGTACTATGCTGGCTGCCACACCTTAAGGATGGATAGGGAATTGCTGTTATTTAGAAGTCCCTGGTGATAGGTCAAAATTCTAGAAACTGAACAATGCACAGCATCCAGCTGATAAGGTAAACACTGTTTGTAGAACAACATCCACTTTTAGGCAAGACCTGTGTGCTAGTGGGTCTTGCATTAAGTGTCTCCTGGACTGCTAGATCACCGTGTCAAACCTGGGATAGCAGATCTATTGTTGCCTCAGAACAAACAAAAATTATTCAGAGTACAATTTAAGTAAGGAAGCCTAAATCTTTGTGGAATGTAACTGGTTGTGCTCAGATACTAATAGAACTGTTATTAAAGGCAGGCACACATCAGACTTATAGACAGTGCTAGTATTAAATGCGAAGCATAAATATGTGGTGCTCTACAAGCGTGTAGTAAGAGTGAAAAGGTTTTTGGCCTTTTCCGATTAGATTAGATCTAGATTGTTGAAATAAAAATAATTAATAACAATTCACTAAACATTTAATAATAAACAATACTCAATTCACTTGTACCTGTTTCTTGGTTAGATTTTAAAATGAGGTTATTTAAACAAATTGTTGGCAAATTTTAGCATACAATGTTTGGCAGTGTATGGTTTTTCTTGCTAACGTGTCTGCTGCACCATTACCCAGCCCTAGTGGATGCGTTATTCTCAGTTAGACCAGTCATGGGTGCACCCACCTGAGGAGAGTTTGTGCTCAATGTGAGGCTGCCCTAGTGGGTAATACAGTTGACTGTCACAATGAGGCCTGAGCAGAACCACAAACTGTGGTATGTGAGAACCGGCAAGAAGAATTCAGGGGCAAATGGACCACCCTCAATTACAGCTGATTGATGTGTTCTACCTTACGCCACAGGCCACAGGCCACAGGCCCGCTGCCTGTCAGGGAGGTGTCCCATATCCTCAGCATGCCAGTGATCAGGCTCCATTCACAGAGAAAAGGACAGGAATACCTGCCATTCTAGTAAGCCTTGGGGGATTCTCTGATTTGCCTGCTGTCTGCACATAGCAGCCTGGCTGATTCTTACTAGCATGCATAATACTATCCACCACACACAGGAGTGATGGGGTGGCTAGCATTTTCAATGAATCTAGCTTCAGGCTGAACAACTGTGAGTTCATTGTGAGTCAGGGCACCACTGTGTGAAAGAGAAGAGTGGATGTGTTCTGGATGACTTTCTCCCTAGACAGGGTTCACAGAAGACAGTCATCCAAGTCTGGCAGTCTCCTGATGCCAGTGACCTTCAGAGGAGTCAAGGCCACCTGAATACATCTTGAAAACACTTGTGGTGTGAGGGAGAGGTCAACAGACAGCTTTTGTGATTGGGATGTCTGCCCTTGAACTCAAACCTTAAGAAGCGTTTTTGTTGCAGGCCAATGGGAACATGAAAATGGACATGACGTGTGGCTGCACGACGTCACTCTTGGCATATGAAAAATGAGTATCTTTAGGAACTGGGCCAAGCCTTTATGATCTAAAATTAGACAGAAACTTCCATACATTTTTGAACAAGAAAATATGTTGAATAGAACTGCAGGGTCTACCTTTGCTATCACACCTCTGGGCAAGAGGAACAACCTTCTAATCTGTGGCCCTGAGTCCAAAAAAAAGCTGTGGGCCAGTGGCAGAAATGTAGTTGTGTCACTGTTATCATGACTCATATGGTCTGTTTTAGTCACTGTCCACTGAGCAATGATTTTGGCTGTAAAACACTCTATTGCAGGCAGACACTATTTAGAGCCCTCCCCACAGGTAATTGAGGGGCACTCTTGCC